TATCATATGCTTTCTCAAGGTCTATAAATACCAAATGGGTCTCTCTACTTCTTTCGACACGCTTTTCAATTATTTGTCGTAGGATAAATATATTATCAAGGCAGGATCTCCCGGTACGAAAGCCGCTTTGTTCTTCAATATCTTGTATCTGTCTTTCAACCCTCTTCTTTAATATTCTGCCGTACAACCGGCACACAGAGCTCGTCACACTAATACCTCTATAATTGGAACAGTCTCTTTTATTCCCTCTCTTATATATGGAGCTTATATAAGATTTATTCCAATCTTTAGGAATTTCCTGGTCTCCACACATACATTTATTGAAAAGGTCTACTATTAATTCTAAAAGTGCAGTCGGCCCATATTTAACCAGCTCTATGGGAATGTCTCCAGCCCCTGCGGCTTTTCCGTTTTTAACCTCTTTTAAGGTTTCCGTCAATTCAGATAATGTTATTATAGGGATTTCCTGTCTTTCGTCTCTGTTGTCTATTAATTCCCTTATCTTTTCCCATCTGTACTCTACTCTATCCTCTTTCAGCAGTTTCGTATAAAATTCTTCCCATTCATTTAACTTTATGAGAGAAATGTTATCTTCATTTTTCTCATTTTTGTGTCAACTCCTCTTCTTTATTAATTAACAGGATGATTTGTGTAATTGACCATTTATTTCATTTTACTGTAGTGTTTATACGGCTCATTTGATTTTTTAATTTTTGCATGATACAGTACACTACTATCAAGCATTCGACTGCATTAGCTAAACTAAAAAATTCCAGGACTGGCTTTGGAAAAATTAATTTAGGGATTCGTATTAAATATTTACCCTGTATATTGCTATGATTGTTTATTTTGAGTTCAAACTTAGTTTATTGAGCCAATAAAAAAGAATTATAACTTATTTGTTATCAAAAGTAAAATAATCCTTATATTACCTGTGTTCGATGGATTCAAAAGATTTTCTAGTTGTCTTTTATCGGGATAGAGAAGAAAAGGATAAGAATACAAATATATTATATTACAAAGATTTACGTTTCTTTATTTTATATGAACGAATAAAACAATTATTAAATTCTGTCGTTATCTTATCAATCAGCATACAAGAAAATAAATCAAATTATTATGACAATAAGATTATAAAGCTACATACATTTATATTACGTGAAAAACCAATTTTACTTAAAATTTTCTTTACTTGAAAAAAGAAACCACAAAACTTTAAACTTTTGATTAGCCTAACAAAACCTCAGTTCTTAAATTTTAATGATAATGACCATGATGTCGAAACGATCCTTCACAGATATAAAATTCAATTGTACAAACACTTACAGTTTATTTTCTTCTTGAGTTGTATGTTGGAACATACCCAGAAAAGTACAGTCTCCTCAAATATGTGATCTCCCCTCTTTAGCACCTCGGCTCATTCTTCTCGGCACGAACCACACCCTATCTTGAGACAAACGACTGTTTTCTTTCGATGACCAAAATATGACTAACTTCTCCTCTCTCATGATCGACTCACCAAATTCCCATTTAAAAACGACCGTCCAATCAAAAAGCTTAAATTGTGTTTACCATGATTTTGGAAAAGCCTAATTTCGGTTTCAGAGAAAACTAAATAGCTTACTTTAAAATTGGTTTTTTTTTAATATTTCATCATTTATATATATACATATTTCAAAAGATTAAAATATGGTCATTTAATACTCGACTATACAAACAATGAAAAGATTAACTTACAATTCTTCTAATTCTAAACAAAAGTTTTTTGATAATTTTGTTTGAAACGGAAAAAGGTCGTTTGCCAAACAAATTTCTATTCTTATCTACACTAAATCTTATCTTAAATTACTATATACAATTTGTTTATATTGATATCTTGAAATTTTATATCGATGGATTTTTTTTATTTATTTTTCTTTGGTTGGAAAAGAAAAAGTATGACAATATATATTTTTTAAAATGCAATAAGTGATTTTCAAACTACATAAATAGCCAATGAAAACGACATATGCGACAATGTTGTCGCACTTTTATTAAATTTTTAGTGAACGATCAAATCTTACCAAAAATAGAACAACCATAATGAAGTATCAAATTATAAGGTATTAATTTAAATAAATGTTATAAATTTCAAACATTTTAATTAAAATGAGTTCCTACAACATAATCTAATAAGTAGAAAATTAACATCTTATAACTATACATATACATATATATATATATATATATATATATATATATATAATAAATTCTATAATATTGATAGAATAAATGTTCTTCTGTTGTACACTATCCATAGAATTACTATAACTTCATTATTTTCGGACTTCATAATTTGAGATAAATAAATTAAATAACTTTTGAAGTGCTAATAATTGGGGCTAAATGGATGACTAATCAATCTTGTGGTTTTAGTACTTCTTCAAAGAGTGACTTAAATAAACAAACATTAGTATTAAAATATCTAGAACTTTGGGTACCCACTTTTTTAAATGGGTACCCAAACAACCTTAATCTGGGTTCAACTTGCAGATAAGTTTCTCAAATAAATCTAATGTACAGGTTTCAAAATATATCTTAAAACACATTTCACACTTTGAGATTTTATCAAGTATGTGTTCCCAAATGATCTTTCTCTATATTCTTAAAATGTATTCTACACTTGTAAGATTTTGCTAGGGTGTGTCATTTCATGCTTTTTTAAGTTACCTGATCTAGAAAACATCCTAAAACAAGTTTTACACTTGTAAGGTTTTTCTCCAGTATGTATTCTTGTATGTTGTCTCAAATCATGTGCACCAATAAATTCCTTCAAACAAATTTCGCACTTGTAAGGTTTTTCTCCTGTGTGAATTTTCATGTGTTCTTTTAATGAACTTTTATGGGCAAGTAGCTTAAAACAAACCTCACATCTATTAGTATTTTTTTCACTGTGAATTTTCATATGACGTTCCAAAGCATCTGCCTGAGAAAATTGCTTGAAACAAATTTGACATCTATTAGGACTGTTTTCAGTGTGAACTTTCATATGTTTGTTGAAAGTACCTATCTGAAAAAAGGGCTTAAAACAAATTTCACACTTATAAGGCTTCTCTCCGGTGTGCAACATCACATGGTGTTTTAAAGAACTTGACTGAGAAAACATCTTAAAACAAATGTTACACTTATAAGGTTTTTCTCCAGTATGCATTATCATATGTTGTTTCAAATGACTAGCTCGAGAAAATTCCTTATGACAAATTTCACACTTGGAAGGATTTCCCCCAGTGTGAATTTTTACATGTTTTGCTAAACTATCTCTCTGAAAAAATTGTTTAAAACAAATTTCACACTTATAGGGTTTTTCTCCAGTGTGGAATATCATGTGTTGTTTCAAAGGATTTACCCGAGAAAATGACTTAGAACAAATTTCGCACTTGTAAGGTTTTTCCCCGGTATGCAGTCTTATATGTTGTTTTAAACTACCTGCCTGAGAAAACTGCTTTAGACAAATTTCGCAAGTGTAAGGTTTTTCTCCAGTGTGAACTTTCATGTGTACATTTAAGGCACTTTTATGAACAAGCTGCTTAAAACATATTTGACAGGTATAAGCTTTCTCCCCAGTGTGTCTTTTTAGATGTTGATTTAAGTACTTTTTTGTCGCAAACTGTTTACTACAAATTTCACAATTGAATATTTTTTCTTGAATAGGATGACTTGTATGTTGTTTTTTATTATCTACATACACTGTTTTCATCAGTTCCAATGTGTTGTCCACTTGGGGAACACCTAAAATAATAATCAAAATATATAAAAAGTTATTTTGCTAGAAAAAGTTAATGCACAAACTTCAGAACAGAAAATTTTCAATATTCATAGTGGTTTTATTGTCTGAAGTTAACTTAATTTAACCCAACCTCACTTTTATGTTCTAAACTATAAATAATAAACATAGTATCAGTCTTAAATGATAAAAGTATGAGGGCTTAGGTTACGTTAGGTTCGTCCATCCTTTTACATTTATTTAAAATTAAGAATTCATATGTTTTTGCAGTTTTCTACGCAACAAATTAGTAAACCAATATCCATAGACTGTTATTTTCAAGCTTTAAACGTAAATGTGGTCCAACCAATCTAACTGTCAACAATATCTAGCTTGCATGACCTTAAAGTATTAGAACACAGACAGCAAACACTTTTTGGAGACTATTAAGTGGCTCAAATTTATGGTTGCCATCCACTAGACCTATATAAGCTAGTACAAGGTTCTACTGCTAGTACCCTGGAATGGGTATTATGATTAAATTGAAGATGTACAATTAGTCAACTGGCTGAAGTATGACCAGTTTATATCAGATAGATTCCAAAAAACAATCATTTGCACATATTTTAACAATTATATGGACTAAACTACAATGTAGGTCACAGTCAATATTAAAATATAATTTGGTACAACCAGTTCTTGCTGGTCTTTGGAATTTATACTTAGTTGTGGGTGCATCCAGTTACAGGACAGTTTCATTTTTAAAATATTCCTAATATAAAAAGAATCCTTAAATTGTTTCCATTTCTAGCATTAAATATGTAATAATATAGCCAAATAAACTGTTTTAAAAGCAAATACTGAGAAAACTATTGTTGTTTGTTTGTGTTTAAATGACTGCGGACACTAAATCCATTCGCCAATCTTACAATTTGAGGTGTAGTGTGTGTGTGTGTGTGTGTGTGTAGAGTAATTGTCTTGATATTTAGCAAAGTCGACGTCATTGTCTTTGCTAAGAGACGCTAATTGTATCCGAACGTCTGCGGTCCCTCCGGTGTGTACCGATCACACAAGGATAGAAATTATTTTCATTTATTAATTTTTTTAATAAACGAAAATTTCCACCCAGGTGGAATTCGAACTCACGACCTTTAGGTTTAAAGGCAGGCGCTCTTACCACTGAGCCACAGAGGGGGTTTAGAAAACTATTCTGCTTATCTTAATTTGCACTGTTGAGAATAATCTAGGGTGCCTACAGTTACCAGCTTACCATTTTCATTGTTTGCTTTTCTTCAAATGAAACAAGTTTATTCTCAGGATCTAATTCAGTCTTTATGGGAAATTCCTTTAGGTCCAAATAATCAAATTCATCATGTGTATCTATATTAGACTCCTCTTTGATTTCAGTTTTAAAGCCATCTAAAAGAGCATCATCCACCTTATTATAATATATATCTACTTCTGCTTTAAGTGTGTTTTCACTAAATTCTTGTTTTACTTCCATTTGGTTGAACCAGTTTTTATGGATTTTACATTAAAAGCAAAACACGAAATGAGTAATGTACAATTTTTGGGGTGTTACGCATAAACGGGCACTCTAACCTAACCAAATATATTTTCCTCACTGATTTTCCTCAAGGCACTGGCGGTCGGGCGGCACTGCGTCACAGCCAATGACGTATAATATATAGACTCGGTGAACGCTTTAAAAAGTGTCCAAAACATGAATACCTTTGTTATTGTTTATTGTTTTGATACGAAGATGCACGAAGTTCATGATTTCTTACGAAGCATCACGAAGTTGATCTTGTGTTTGAAAACATCATGGACGTATTAAAACATTTTCTCCATTTTGTGTGACAAGCAAATTTTATTTTAAATTGTTGAGAGTTATTTACTTACTATTTTAGTAAAATGCCATACTATTTTATCAAAATAATTATTTCTCTTATAGACGGGAACAAAAAGAAATCATAAATATTTAATTTTAATTAAAAAAATAATTATTGTCATTAACATATAAATGAGCACGCCGCTGTTGTGATAAACATACCTTCAACTTGAGCCGAGATCTTTCGGACACTTGATTCTATAGCGAGAATAGGGGACTGCGTAGTCTATATATTATACGTCATTGGTCACAGCACAGTGTTGCCGTATTTATTTTAGTAAAATATGTATATGAATGCTACAAATATAAAGTTACTTTTACGAAATTATAATTTGTATTATGAGAAGCTACAAGTTTTAAATAAGTATAAAACAAATATTTTCTGTTACTTTAAATGCAGTTAAATATTGTAAATTAGCACTTTCCAAATCTTATCTATTAGGACCTTATTATTAGGTGCGAATGGTCAACCCGCTACAATGACACTTGTGAATCATAAATTGTACATTTGCTAAGAAAATTTTGGTTAAAATCCTTTATAAAAGGTATATAAAAATGCCCCAAACGGGCTATCACAAACACATTGCAAAACGTTTTCGGATTAAACAATCCATCATCAGTGCAAACGGTTGTACATGCTAGTAGCCACCAAAATATATGGGTAAAAACCCTTTAAATGTTTAAAATTTGATGGTCCTCTACATGAGTAAAATGGACCAGGACCATTTTACTCATGTAGAGTCATACGCCACCATGTTACCTATCCAACGGTAACTTAACCATCACAAATTATAAATACTAATAATGTAAAACAATTCAAATTTTAAACATTTAAAGGGTTTTTACCCATATATTTTGGTGGCTACTAGATATACAACCGTTTGCACTGATGATGGATTGTTTAATCCGAAAACGTTTTGCAATGTGTTTGTGATAGCCTGTTTGGGGCATTTTTATATACCTTTTATAAAGGATTTTAACCAAAATTTCCAACATATTAAACCTGAATATGGGTAAAATTTGGTTTGAATTAATTAAATAATGATAGTTTCGTGCTTTTGAATAAAGTTCCATCATATTTCAACCCTTAAAAAGTGACCCTTGTTAGAGATTAATGTAAAAAAAGTAGTAATGCGAAGAAAATGATTTCGCCTTGGAACGATTTGCATAACAATTTGGAATTAAGCTTAACTCAACCTATGCTTTATAGTTTATGTCATGCCGATGAACGCTGATTGTTATTAGGGGTGAAAACTACCCCTAATTTTCAAAAATTGTAAAATAACATTACAAGTCTTAAGATGAGTGAAATTTGGTTTGGATTAGTTAAATAGTGATTTTTTTATACTTTAAAATACAATCTCATACATTTTCAACCCTTAAAAATCAATTGTTATCAGTGCTATAGGTGAAAACAATTTTTTGCCAAAATTTTGTAACTTTTCAACTCTTGAAAATCACCCTTTACAACATTGCAGTTTTTATAAACTAATTTAATAGATATAAATTGAAAAAAATTTATCAACATAAAAAGGCACCATATATTCTTATACATTTACATAAATAGTTGAAAATATTTACATTTATAGGTAAAACAATTATTATATTAATTTTATTCGTCATCAATTACATCTTCATCGTGATCTATGTCATCCTCATCTTCTTCAATTATTGGTGGACTATTATTGCACCCTTCACCTGAGCACCCAGAACAAGTAGAGTTACAGTATAAACCAACTTTTCTGCACCCACATGAAACGCCGCATCCTTTTTTTGCATTGGCAGAAATAATTTTCAAAAGTTCATCGGGTGCAGGTTGTTTGTTCATGCGTACGGGTAATAACAAACCATCTTTGGAATACCATCCCCAATCTGTTGCTCTGATATTTCATTGCCAAGCCATAGACATATGAGCAGATATTTTATTCTGTTGTATGGGATTTCAAAATAAGAACCCCTAAAATTTCGAATGTATAACGCCCCACTACCTAATATACCGGTTTTGTAGATTATTATGCTCCGAAATATACTGTACTATACTAATGGAATTTTCCGGAAAAAAAAAACTAATTGGTTTTTTTAACGTATTTCCTTCATTTTTAACGATAGAGTGTTTCTTCAAAAACGATTTTGTAGAGGTTTTTAAGAGCTATAAGGATCTGTGAATTAAATCTTTTTGGAACTCTTGGTTTTTAAATGGGGTGAGTTTAAAGGGCTCGAAAAAGATGGTGCTTGATCGTAAATCGATGCTTTAAACGGCTATATCTCGCCAAATATTCATTGTACAACAAATCTAAATAAAGGAAAATTTTAGTCATTAAAAAAGCTTCAATTTAGTACATTTTTATTTTTTTTCATATATTCGGTATTTTCGGGGATATTTAAAAAAAGAAGGGTAAAAAATATGAAATTGTAAATCGTTTCCCGCTTTATGCTGTACTTTTTCTAAAACTAAGCATTTTACATGGGTCAAACTTCTTGGACATATTAACAATACATGTACAAAAAGAATTGCAGAAGGGTGAAGATCGATTTTAATTATGGGAGTGGTTAGGGGGTTGTTTTCATCGATTTTTTCGTAAAAAAATGAGGTATTGACCTTATTTTCATCATAACTCACTCAATTTTTGAGCTTTGTTTTATGATAGGTCTATTTATGCTCTTTAAAAAAGGTTCTGGGAGTTTTCTTCCAAAATGCATTATTTTCCCGATAGTTCTTCACTTTGAATCTTTCAAATTTGGCATTTGAAGAAAACCGCTGAACATGGATAGGCCGTATTTCGGTTCCTGTTATATCGCAAAAACATTTTAAAAAATGAATTGTATTTGTCTTTTTAAAAGCTACAAATTTGTTCTCTATAATTTTTTTTGTAAAAATGTACCATTTTCGAGTTTTTCGCGACAAATCGATTAAAAACGTCGATTTTTTCGTCTAAAAGTTGTTACTTTCAATCGCGAATAACTTGAAAAACATCAGTTTAAAAAAATGTATAGAATCACTTTTTTAATCGAAACCATTTGCGGTAATTGTTCGCGCATTGTCAGCGGCAATGTTTAAATTTCAATCACGTCGTTGGACGATCATTTAGTGTTTGTTGTCAGATCTAGAGGTGGTTGATCCAAGTATTTTTGTGGATCAGGTCAAACTGATACGCGTAAACAAAATACCTGTGAATAGTCAACTGAACGACAAGCTTATACAATTTCCTGATGAATATGAATAACAACAAATGACTACGCATATGATTATAATAAATTTTAGGAGTACTACATAAACAACTAAAAAATAAATATTTGCAAATAAAATTTTATATATTTAATATAAGTATTGATATTGATCCTGATACCGATCCCGTCAAAGGTCCAGTCCAGTGCGAGTACAATGCTACAATGTACTCGTACCCGTACTCGTTTATATTGGTGTTAGGGATCAGTTCCACAAGTATAAATAAATCACCTGTTCCAAAGTAACCGGTACGGGATTAGATCATCATCCCTAGTCAGATCACATTATTTGTTTCGTTAATAATTTGTTTTTGTGCAATCCTAAACACTGAAATCCTATCTAAAAAAATTGCACAAGGTCAACGAATTTGTCTGACAGCTACCAATGTAAATATATCGGAGTGCCCTTCGGGTTGTTCGGTGTCCTGACATTTAAATACATACGCATCTCATCTGTATCGGCGTATATAGACTTAAAATACGCCCTCCAAACTTTTATAACCTTGTTAAAATCCGTCTGTATATTGCCTTTATCTTAGACAAGGAACGAGAGAGGACGGATAACGCTCATTCAACCAACCTTCAAAAAGTGAAGCCACTTTTCGATGTCTCCGCCATTTTGTTGGCAAACAATAGTTCTGACACCAGTTTTGTTTTTGTGGTTATTTTAAAAAAGTGAATTAAACACCTATTTTTATTACTTAACAAAATGGTGAATTGTGCATATATTCTTTGTAAAAATCGCAGCGAGCAGAAAACATCAGGAATATTGTTTCATACGTAAGTATTTATAATAGTGCAATTAGGTATTAATTGATTTTACTTTTTATTTCAATTTTAAACCTCAAAACCAATTTAAATTAGTATTTTAAGGAAAGGTGAGATCTAAATTACTAAATAAGAATGCTAAATATGCATAGTTATTTCAGTAATTGTAATAATTAATAATTTTACTCACACCATGATGATTTGCCAGCGACGGTGTGCGTTGATGGTTAAAATTCCATAAATAAATAAATTTCGTTAATTTAGATTCCAAAATATTTGTATAAAATAAAATAAATTATATAAAGCAAAAATGTTTCATTTTAAATACGAATTAGCCAATACTTAAAAATACAAAGATACACCACTGACCACTTCCTCTGGTGGCACTCACTTTTAGCGATATGGTTACGCGTCCTCTCTCTTTCCTCGTCTAAGGCCTTTATCATCTTTGATAGACAAAGATTTCTGCTTCAATTTACGTGTGAGTAGTTTAACTTTATTGAACAGTTCTCTGGTGTTATTTGCGTCGTCGTGTTGTTGAATCTCTCTCTGCAGATTTTCGCTATGTTTGTTGTCTCGTCTACAAGCAGTCCGAATAGCTCCAAATATCTGTCGATACT